GCGCTAGGCGGCGGTATGACAAAGATGAATTGTGTGCTAATCTTAGTACATGTAGTAGTAGATACGCAGCCTTCATTGTACTGTACTACTGACGTCTGTCCCAGAGAATACACTGCTGTGCATGCACATCGTCGGAACACGAGTCGAAGTCGAGGAACCATGCCTGCCGCGCCGGTACGTGCGGTCTCCTCCTACTTGCCTTGTACTGTACCTTGTCGGCGGCTTGTTATCGCGCTGGCAGAATCCAGTGAACGAAGCGAACGCGTCCAGTGCCCCACCACCATAATTCCATCCTAGTCATAATGATTATGAATTTATGATACATGTACTGCCAATGCCACTGGTGCATTACAACGTGTCACCGCCTCACCGGTGACTACAGACAAACAAGGTAAAAGGAAACGAGTTAGTAGTAGTAGTTGAAACAGGGGGACAACGTCACACGTGAAAGGAATGAGTTGTAGGTGAAGAAGGAGCGACAGCTGCTTGGTCTCCTGCAAAGTAACTACTGTTATTTAGTTGCAACCAAGAGCTACCGGGGAGCATGCAGTGGTGTTGGGGCTTGGACTGCCAAACAACCAAGAGCTACCGGAGAGCATGCAGTGGTGTTGGGGAAGAGCTACCGGAGAGCATGCAGTGGTGTTGGTCCTGTTGGGGCTTGGACTGCCAAACGCGAGGTCACAGTAGGAGTAAGACTAAGACTGTAGTAAGAGCGCGAGCAGGAGGAAACGGGGAATGCTCCACGCCATGGGCACAGGCAACAGGTCGTTACACACTTACCTACTGTGTATCCGACAACGTGCTCTCCAGCTGTTCCACAAGGGCAGACCTGCTGTTCTTCAGAGAGCGCGCACTGCTAGGCAGGTAACTGGTTGCTCTGCCCAACACCTCTTGACGTCTACTCTTGTGACTGGTACACGGTAGCTAGTAGATCTACTAACAGAAAGAATGCGAACCCACAGACATCCAACAGACATTGACCAAACTCTTCGCTAGGGGTGAGAATTGAGAGGTGTGAACGCGCCTTTTCAGCTGAGGTTGCGACAGTTTTGCACCTTCAATCAAGGCTCCATTGTACATTGTACATGTATCAGGTTGGGATTGATTTAGCACTGACTCAGTGACTTGGTGTCACCCTGTAGATCTACTGGGCATGGGCCATACAACTAGTACAAGATCAGACAGGGTATTATTACCATGAGTAGATCTCCAGTGGATTTGAACACTAACATCAGGCAGTAATTATTGTCGTGGTAGATCCACAAAATTAGTTTATCTGTCGTAAACGGACAATGTAGTTCATGATCATTTCGGTGCAGTTATCAGTCTTTATCATGGTTATGCCTTATGGTATCATGTCGCGCTTGTATGGTCAATACCGCAAACGCTGTAAAGCCAGTGAAGACTGACGCCATTGCTTACGGCTGTCACTTATCACATAGTATTAGCGCGCCAAAGGCTGTGAAGATGCCGCAAACCTTTCCCTACTACTACTACTAGTACTAGTACAGTGTACTACATGTACTAGCATTTACCTCATTCACGAGACACAGTATTACATGTAGTAGTAAGTAGTCAGCACATAATACATGACATACTACAATCATGTGATCCATTTACGCTAGTGATCATGTGGCATACAGACAGTCACTCTGCACGTAGATCTACGCAGAGTAAGTCTACCAAGCAGGAACACACCTACACTACAGTATAGACTACAACCCTCAGTCCCCCTTGGTTCACCAATACAAGGCAATAGGCAATATTATAATGCCATTAATGGCAACAGATGTCACCTTTGTCTTTGAACCCGTCGCAAATGTCTTCTTTCATGGTAAAGCCTAGGCTGTAGCTACCGGGGAGTCGTGAAACTACTCCCTGCCTGGTAGCCAGTGTGACACGGAGTAGCACGACTTTTGCATAATCATTGTGAACTCACTGTGTTGATCTGCATCACTCAACGATCGATGACGGTGCTACTTCTCCTACAAGTAATATTATTATTAGTTTTGTAGGTCTCTAGCTATGGTCCTGGAAACCGAGCGCTGTCTGTAGCTAGCTGAAGATTCGATCGCTTCTCGCACGAATGACGCTACTTTTTGTGTCAGGACAAGATGATAGTCCACAGTGTCCACAGAATCCTGATCGAGGAGGACAATTTTGACCGCGCAGGTGGAAATGCGTCAGAGCAGGTCCATACGATGTATCGCCACTGCACTGCTTTCGTGGGCACGTAACGTCGTTGGTGACTGTTTAGACTTTAGTACATGTGAGCGGACAAGGTAGAAATGGAACGTTAACTGCAGTCTGGCAAAAACTGTTTTTTTGCATGAAGGTCACCTACAACTATCTGTTTTTCAGATCCCAAAGTTTCAGGCTGATACTATGGTGGGAAGTGCCTTACATTCACCATTTTCTAGATGCCGGTCAGTATTTTAACGTCTGTTTCGGGATGATTTAAACAGTCCACCCTTCAGTACAACCAAAACACTGAAAAAAACCCCATTATCTTGGCCTGTATTTCTCCACAAGTGTATATCAGTGTGAAAGATGAGCTGATCACACACATGGACTCGTTTGAGGTGGAACCAAGCAACAAAACCACATAACTAGAAACAGCCGGAGCCGAAAAATCAGCTCCAGAGTAACTCGTGATGCAAGGCAAAATAATAGGACTGTTGAAGCTGGTACTCAATCCACACATCAAATACCACTACACACATGTCAAAAATAGAAGAATTTGGCGGACAAATGGTAATTCCAGTGCGTTCTTGCTTCAGCCATGTGTGCACGCTCTCATCGTATACTGTTGGCGACCTCGGACTCTGCTCTGATGCATTGAGGCTCCCGACGACTGAGCGGCGCACCTTGGTAATATAGTTTGTAACATTTTGGCAGGAGACAGACAGCTCTTGAACACACAGCATCGAAATAATATTCCGGAGACGCACCACCAATACGGTGCCCATTGGCGAAGCAGGACGAGTCCACAGACTTGAGAAACTGTACTTAACGTAACGTTACACATCAGTCCGCAATCCGAGGCCCGATTTGACTTCTTTCCACTCAGCTCATGTTCACCAGCCTTGACCATTCTGTGTATCTCAATTCTTAAAACACTCATTTCCAGACAGTGCACGATGCAGGTCTGCCACTTGCATCCAATGCATTGGGCAACAGCTAGCTAGTTGTTCTGGGCTATTAAGTCCCTGCATACGTTCCCCTGTGGTGCACGACGCTATTGTTTCTTCAGCTCCTGCGCTGTGTGCTTCAGAGCTCTGAAGTCGGTTCGGCGTATACATTCAGTACAACTCAGCATCCACAGGAACGTTCCCCTTCATTGGTGTTATCATCATCACTGCTGTCACCACGTTCGCCTGCATCCGAAAGATCCATCTCATTTGTTCCCTATGTCTTTTTGTACCGCGCTGAAGCCAGCAGCAAACAAAACGCTGATCGGCACGTCGTCACGGTTTTCGGCGTAGTGGAAGACGCTCTCGACTACTACCTGACTCAGAAACGCTCTCAGAATCAGAGAAGCTCTCAGCACCTGACAGCAGGCTATCAGCTGATCGCCGTCACCTCCAAATTCGCCCGTGAATACGCCACCCGTCGCACAACTAGCTGCCATATCTTCCTTCAGCCATAACGGATTCACTTCAAATTTTCAGTGCTGGACCTTGAAGCCCTGTGCTGAGCGAGGCACAAGCGCTTGATGCAAATAGAGCCCTCTAACCCAGGTAAAAAATATGCCACAGTTTGCCAAACTTCAAACGCCTGTATCTCAAAATGATGTCATGCAGCTAACGTTCCATTTCTACCTTGTCCGCTCACACATTTACAATCATGTACTTCGAAATACGACACGACTGAACATACTTGTACGTCGCGTCGTTACTTTTAGCGCTATAGCGCTCTCTATCCGAGTGTGAATGTCACAGCTCGAGCAGTAAACTAGTAGAGTATACATAGTAGAGTATGTGTTCCCTAGGCCCTGCAAGCATTCTTCCGAGCATGTCACAGTCGCTAGTCTAGGACTTGTGGGAGGAGACTCTCGTGCAACAAAGCCCCAACTTCCCCCGCCAAAGCCTGCATTACTAGTATCCTAATGCTCCTGCTAGTATGCGCAGTCCTGTTAAAAGAACTGAGGCATCCGTCAGTCATATTGTCCCTCATGATGATCATCATTGCATATGTGGTGTTTCGCCGATTGTCTTTAATAGCCCGTACATGTATTTATATGGCAATACGACAGAAAGAAGCTCAACTCTTCTGCTGCGAACATGCGCAACTGATATGAATCCAATGATCATGATGATTATACTAGCAATGCCATTTTATTAGGATATGTACAATGAATGTGTAGAACGATCTACCAGATCTAGTACTCACATTACTGTACAGTGTCTGCTCTAGGATTTCAAACCAACGAGGTACACGTGTACCGTATACCTGGCAGCAACCGGGTCAGTTCAAGTGCGGCTACTGCATGACTTGTACATCAGGGAGTTGTAAACATTTTAGGGCTCCCTGATGTACATGTATTATTATGATATTCCCAACCGGGTCATCTAACAGGTCCAAGTACCCCCCCCCCCCCAACCGGGTCGCTGATCCGGCTCTTGAGCAGACACTGCAGCACATGGGAGCGTTGATATTACCAATGCCGCTCAGCATTCTGGTCACATCCTAAGCAAAGCGAAGTTAGCGAGGGAACTCACTTGACTTCTGTGAGTCAGACTGTCTAGTCAGGATGCATGAGAATCACGAAGGACGTTACTCATTGGGAAGCAGTTGCTGACACACACACATACACACATACACGCGCACACACACACACATGCATGCACACACATACACAAAACACACATACACACATGTACACACACGGACACATGCACTCATGGACACAAACACGCACATACACACACACACACACACATACACACACACACACACACACACACACACATACACACACACACGCATGAGGCTATAGGTGTTGTTGCAAAACCTGGTGCCATAATGCAAATAAATAAGTTTCACATTCAACATACAATCCGACTATTGACAGGTAAAATAATATGAAGTAGGAACACAAGCACAGGAGACAAAACCCGTACAGGCAGTGGGGTCCTCTGCTTCCATTACTGCAGATGTGAACACAGTGAGAACACTTGCAACAAATAGAAAACACCGGCTGCTTCCACTACTTGTAAGACAAGGAACAAAATAGGCAAAAAAAGGCTTTGCACCTGAGGCTAGTAGTGACTGTTACTGGTAGAAAAATAGAGATAATAACAAAGGAGGCAGTTCAATATAGGTCACATGCAATAATGCCACTAGTTTCTCTCTTTGCTCAACGAGATTGCTCAGCTGCATAATGATATATTCGTCAACAAGATCGTGCTCAAGTTGGTCTCACGTTGCACACTACCTTCGATAGTGTCTCTCAATGAAAAGGGGGAAAGGGCCAAAAGGGGAATTTCCACGAGATTCACTATAAGTTCGTGGCATATAAGGAGCAAATCAGGATTCAGTGAATTGCGGGATATAGCGGCGGGCAACACTCGGTTTGCAGAATGAAGCTCTATGCCGTGCCGGGATTTTGCTCAAGATCGAGTCCATCCGGTATGCGGCTGGGCAGAGTGCCAGCAGGCAGAGTGGCAATGCTTTGGCTCAGCAGCAGAGAATCAGCTTGTGCGGTTGTTACTGAACTTGCGTCCGGGTCTATCTCCTCCGACATGCTCGATACCTGCTCAGTGGTGATTGTGTCGCTGTTGTGGTGTGGCAAGAGTGCATAGCCAGTTGCAGCGCCACTTGAAGACGTCCCAGAGTCAGTAGTACTGCTAGGTTCTTTCCCGGCTGCTGCTGCTGCTGCTGAACTGTATGCTCCTCTACCTGAAGACACTGATACAATGCGATGCTTCGGTAGACGCAGATCGACACTTTCAGCCGTGTTTGGTGCTGGCTGCACTGCATCCATGCTCAAGAAGCTCTCTCGCTTCACCGGAGGGCTGAACGGCTCCACACCGTTACCGGGAATGGACGGCGTACGATCCCTCTCCTTGAGCAAGTTGATCCGTCCGATAGAAGACTCGGAGGATTGCCGACTGCGTGATGTCATGGATACGGACGAAACCTGCCGTTTGTAATACTGGCTGTCTCTTCCAATGGTGCGTGAAAGGCGGCGGGAGTTGCTCCTGCAGCGGTCCATAGTGTTCTTTTCCGGGCGGAACACGGCAACGTAAACACGGTACGAGTACATCCAGAGCAGCAGCGACCACATGTGTCCGATCATACGGACGGCCAGGAAAATATTGGACCTGCCGCGGTCCAATGCTTTGTTGTAGTACGGAGCCGACGTGACAAACCACACCAGGCAGGCGGAGAGGGCGCCCATGAACATCTGCCTGGCTTCGTTGTAGTTGTTGGGCAGCTTACGCGTGAAGAAGCCAAGTATGCACGTTATCAGGATGAGAAAGAGTATGTACGCATCCATCACAAGTTCATGAGCTGTAACCCTGGTACAGTAAAGGTAGACAACACCAAAGGACTTTTCATGCAGAGCCGTGCCGGGCGTATTGATCACTCTCCACGGCAAGTAGAGAATGCCACCTATCAGCACCAAAACGATAATGTAGACCGCCTGTGCAGTGTTGGAGAACGTCCAGTCGTTGCGGTCTATGCGCGTCGTGTGCAGCACCAGCCGGGCGAAGCGGCTCGTCTTTACCAGGCTGATAGCCATGGTCAGCGTAAAGAACAGGAATCCGCCGGCCTCCTCCACGATACAGCCTGCTGTTGTCGGGTTGTGTACGCGTGGCATCACGGTCAGGAAGCCGCCCAGCATTCCAAGCAAATGGAATACTGTGAACCGATAGTCGGTACCCTTTATTATTGGAGTGTGCCTGTAGCGATGGAACACCAGCGTTACACTCACAACTGCCAAGCCGCCACCGAGCGCAAAAAACAAGAGCAACGAGGCAGTAAGCACGTCCAGCGGCTGTGGTGCTGCCGGCATGCAGGCCGTACGGTCCGCGTTCGGAATGTGCGCGTAAACGCAGCCACTGCACAAACGCGTGCCATCGGCACTGATGTTGACAAATTCAGTGACCTTACACTGCTCACACCATATACAGCACGGTAGCTCGGCGCGACTGACGTGCTCCCAACCGTCGGGGCACTGTGCCGACTCCTTTGTCGTCGAGCAGCTGGACAACGGCACTTCGCCATCGGATGAAGAGACGCCACCCCAGTCATGCTCATGGTCAATATCGCCGTCAATGCTCCAGCCGCCTTCTACTTCGTTCAAGCTCAGGATGAGCTCTGAACAGCTACAGTTGGTGCTGCTCAGATCGTCCAAGTGCCCACGCAAGTCTAAAGACCAAGTGCCAAAGCGGCGATACTCATCGTTGGTGTTGAAGCTACTGGCTTCGTATGCCGGTGGCAGTTCATGCATGCAGCGGAATGGCATACACTGGTAGCTGCCGTTCGGCCCGCACTCCAGCACGACGTCCTCAAGGTAGCGCACGGGACTGATCTCCGACGACATTGCCGTTTCCAGGCCGGCACTCAATTGCTGGTGTGTAGCGCCAGGTCCAAGCCGCGTTGCAACACTGTCCATAGCTAGTTGGGCAGCTTTCATCACCATCAGTGAAGCCAACAGATTCGTTTCGACATAACTGTGAAAGGAACTTGAACGCTCCAGCGTGGCCTCGTAGTTTTCTTGACATCTGCTTGCGTTGCAGGTTGTGTTGCAGAACAAACAGCCTATTTCAGATTGTTGCTCCAGATTCCTGCACACAAAGTCGTCGGGCATGCTCCGCACGCTTTCCAGCGTGCGCTTGCGTAGATGATTCCGAAAGCCGTCCATCAAGTGTGAGACCACAGTAGCGTAGATGGGGTGAACGGTTAGCCGCACGGAAAGAATGTTGGATATAGCATATTCACGCAAAGTGTTATTCCTCACAAAGTTGTGATTGCTCCAGCCGTCGCTACCGATCCAGATGCGGCGCAAGTCTATGCCTTCCTGATAGCCCAGGTCGGCAACATTCGTTATCAGCTTGGTTGCGAGTGGAAGGCTAGCAAAGAGCACCACCACCATTGCCTCGGGTCTTTCCACAATAGCTTGCACTACAGTGTTCTTCGAAAGCGTAAGGTCTGAATCGGAAAATAGTTTGCTATAAGCGATGCAAATGTTCCTCTTGGCAGCCTCCTCACCAAACGCATTCATCAGAGATGATCCGTAGACGTTGTCCACCGCAAACGCAATGGCAAGCTTCCAGTCGTGCTGGACCATCAGCTCCACCATGGCCTTCGCCTGGTAGAAGTCGGATGCGGCGGTGCGGTAGAAGTAAGAGTGATGCCTGGCGCACTCCTTGCGCGAAGCGGGGTCGCTCACCGCCTGGCACGTGAACGCGTCGTTGGTGGCCGATGCGCTGATCGTGGGTAAGCGGAACACGGACATCATCGGCGAGACTACGTGTGTAGCGTCCGACGTCGTCGGCCCGATGAGCATGAACGTCTTGGACAGACTGGCCGGCAGCGGTGGCGGCATGGGCGAGGATGTCGGCGCTGCTGTCTGGACCGGCGGAGCGGACTTTACCGCCGTCTGCTCAACGCACACATGGCTGCGTTGATACGGGCCACTGTACAGAGACGACATGATGACGGATAGAGAACCATCCACGTACAGCCGGCAGTCATCCATGAACACGTAGCCGAGACGCACGGCCCAATCAGGTCGCACAGCACCCGCCAGTGTTCCAGCAAAGTGTTCTTCCAGCACATACATCACGGGTTCTAGCAGATCCAGAGTGTTCTGTGGACGAGCTACGCAGGCGCCATCCTCAACATCAAAGCTACCACTAGAGGCCATGATTCCTACAAGCAGAGAGGCATTTCCAGCCATCTCGTTCCTGGACACAGCGATGCGTTCGTCCACTATTCGATCCATGTGCCTCGCCGGTATTGGCTGGCATTCCGGATTCTGCAACCCTGCCTGCTTGTACACTGTCTGTCCCACTCCCGGCGGAATACTGTTTTGACACCATCCTACAGGACTGTTACACACTTGAACCAGCAGCAGCGCGTGACTAGTCAGTAGTAACAACCTACTGAGCCAGCAGCACACAAACTCCATTCCACTGGCACACTGATGTCCACGATTAACTGGCCCAGGCACCAGGGTGCGCATGTTAGTTTTGTTACTCGATCGCGAGCGCCACAGAATCGATCGACGTTAGGGTGCTTCTACCCAAGCGCTACCTGCCTGGCTAGATCCCTCCTGACCTAACCCACTAACCAACGCTGCACTCACACGCACTCGCTGCGCGACCTGGAGTACTCGTGGTCGTACACCGCCGGTACATCCCTCAGCTCAGAAATAGCTCGCGTTGGATCGCGGACTGCACCACCACTACCACCAGCGCCACCACCTTCGGCATCCACCTTGCACCAGCTACAGGTGACGAAGAAACAAGATACTCTCCACCTACTTTCACACAAGCCATGACCTGCAGCGCAGCGGTCTACTGCCTAACTGGCCTACAAGACCAGCGGCTGCCGGACAGAAAAGAGCAAAATCACCACCACTACTTTTAGTGGCACAGCACGATTTGCGCGTTGTAACTCCGCGTGAGCGTGGGATGTGGAGGTTCGCAGGACCAGCTGCTGCAACGACGCGAAGGCGCAAACGTAAACGCAGGCAGCACTTCACTCTCCGCGACTCCAGCGCTAGCGCTAGCGATCACAAGCTCGTCTGCTACGGTCTAGTTGAATACAGTAGTAGTTGAGCCGCGGCAGCAGGTGGATTACCACCGCCTCAGTAACTAATAATTACTTACTTGCTCGGCACAGTCAGTAACACAATCAGTAACAGTGATCCTGCAGGCTGGACGTGCTCGCATTACCACGATTAGTGCTATGTCCGTACCAGTCACGATTCTTGATCTGGGCACGCGTGTTACTATTACTGTACGTTGGATGATGTGAAGCGCATCTGACTGACCGTCGACCGGTACGCGGTAGCTAGCTACACAATGTAGGCAGATCTACATCGACGATTACCAGATTACATACCGTAAACAAAACAAAAAAATGGTCTTGGCTCAATGGATCTACATGTATCTAGTGTAAAGTAGACCCACGAGCTCGGAGCACATGGTCATTGAGATTGAATACAAAATACCAATGTCATGTAGACCATCTACATGTACATGTACATGATTGTACATGTAACCATTCGTGCTCTAATAGTAATACGTACGTGTACTTATTCGAAATTCGAAAATAATTTTAAAATTCCAAAAATTCGCACTTTTAACTATTTAAGTTATGGCGGGCAATTCCTCGAATTCTGCTATATACCAAAAGCCCCTTTTACGGGCAACAAAACACAATTTGCCAAGATGAAGGATGTTAACACAAATGAAGAGAATAATTGTATGAAGAAAAAAAAGAAAAAGAATGTAACTCGGATGGTGAGCCAATTAAATAATTGTGAAAAGAAGAAGGACAAAATGTTACGAGTTATGACTAACTGTCCACCAACGTAACCAGATCTTATACAGTCAGCGAGTGCGACAAAATGGCACAAAACTGACAAGGAGTACTGAGACATTCGGCAACCTAACACCTAGCTCCAACACTTCTCCAAGGCGCAAACCAACAACCTTCCAACTTGGAAGGCTCAGGTTCGGAAAGGTCCAAGAGGGGAAGGAAAGCGCAACGAAGAAGAGCATGAGCTACGCATCACGGCAACAAAGAATGACGAAAGTTACTGGGTGATGACGAAACTACAGTTTTGTGCCATTTTGTCGCACTCGCTGACTGTATAAGATCTGGTTACGTTGGTGGACAGTTAGTCATAACTCGTAACATTTTGTCCTTCTTCTTTTCACAAAAGAAAAAGAACTTCAATAAGCCAACCTCTACAATCAGCACTACGGAAGAAAACCAGGCGGAATGCCCAAAACCAACATGGAACGAATCCAATCATAGTACAACTAACTTCAGACAAGAACAATACAAAATCCAGACCTCTGAATGTGATGTAAACTGCCATTGTCTCTCAGCCACTCACAGGCGTCCCTCAGCCACCGCCAACTCCCGCAGTGCGTTGACTGACTGGTCAGTGGTACGATGATCTAGCTCCGCGAATGCACATAATAGCTGACCGTAATACTAATAGTGCAAAGGCGAGGCGACAGCGTACATATATCGTCATCTCCGCATACTTCTTTTCTCTCCCCTGGAAAGCAGACCACACAAACGCTTGATGAAACGCGAGCACTCTGGGGCACAACAACCCGCCGTGGTGAAAATGAGAGGAGTGAATGTACCACGATCCACATTGATTATGCGTTCAGCATACTCGGATTTCTTTCTGCGCTCGTGCTCTGCCAAAAGCTTCTCCAGTGGCCTCGCAGCATAGGAAGGCGCATCACTGCCATCAGGGTGAAATACTCGAACGTCCATGTAGGCGTTCTGGGCCCGGGTCCACAGCCCCCTCGCGCGAATGTCTTCCCGGGCATCATCCGCTGTATTCGTAGACGCCGCGGCAAACACCTCACCAGAGAGTGGCGCGAGCACTGGCTCCACAGCAACATCCACGCACACTTCAGTCAGCAAATCAGCCAGGATGTCTCGCACCTCGTTATGCCGTATTGTCGTGAATCCTCCAGTCGCGCAGCTCATGGCATGGGCTGCACTAAATGGACGGCCACAGGAGCAGGTTAACGGGACATCCGCCAGTGGCCAGTCGTACCGCAGCGCCAAAGCATCACGGAAATCTTCTTTCGAGAGGTGGTAACCATGGTCCCGCAGTGGCAGTGGGTTGAGCCAGCTGGACACCCCTCGGGACGCCAGGTGCCCAAGTCGACGAGCGCCATCGAGCGATGCAGCCTGCTCCACCAGCTTGAAGTCATTTTCACTTGCTGCAGCTCGCTGCTTGCCGGTGCATCTTTTTGCGTTAAAAGCAGACACCCTTATGTATTCAGTCCGGCGTCTTTCCCAGGATGTGTTGTTCTGATTGACTAGTTCAGCAACCTGAGCCTCTGTCATTTTCACTGACGCGCCAAGTTCCGTCTGACTCATCCTCTGGAACGACGGGATTGCCAGACCACCCAACCGGGTGGGCAGTCTCAGCATGCGTAAGCCCTCCTCGGTGAAGGCACCACGACCCGTCAGTGCTGGGAGAAACTCGAAAGCGATGATATTGTCTAAGCTCTTGACGCACTCATCCGGGATGGGCACAGTGCGGAAAAGGTACACCCACCTACCCCGTAAACCATGGGTTAGTGCTGCATAGGCAGCATGTGATTCCGTTTTGGCAAACCGAGACAGCTTCCGCAACTCGCGCGACCAACCATCCACCCTCTTCCTCACGAGACCAGCCACCGCCTCTGGCTCACCAACAAATGACCCGAGATACTTGGCTGCGTCGGTCACTGGTACACATAACAGTGTTTCGGGGAATTCACCCCTCATCAGTTGAGCTTGAGTAGGCTGAGGAAGATTGTGCGTGAAAGGCTCTACCTATATAGTATACTGCTCTCCAGGCCAAACCATCACCAGGGATACAAACTTACAGAGACGCTTTGTTTCCAGCGCGACAAACGCCTCGTGAAGCCCCAGGTAGCAGCGTGAGTCAGAGTCGCTCATGGAGTTGTGCTAAACAGACGTTGAGAGCCCATAGGTACCGTAAAGTCGCGGATAAAAGCCGGGTTTGCATACAAGCACATCGCGGATAGAAGCCTGAAAATCAAACGGGTCAAATGCATAATGCCTGTCGCGCGAGAAGCCTGGCTTCTATGCAATTGCAAGCGCGGATCGGGTAGGTCAAGAGTGCACGCGCTATGTAGATCTACGGTGCATAGTAAAACTGCCGCCATATTACCGGTAGTCAGTGGTAGATCTACGCGTGTCGCGCTTAAGCGTGCATACAAGCCTGGCAAAAAATATCAGTGGTGCATAATAAGCATGGTTCGCATACAAATTACAAGCCTGGTTTGCATTAAATTTTTAAAAAGCCTGATGCAGAAAGCGGCTAATGTGCTTATATTTAACAGGCACACTCTTCCTCAGCCTACTCAAGCTCAACTGATGAGGGGTGAATTCCCCGAAACACTGTGTATTGAGCAGGGAGTGGTGCTTTCTTGCAGGTTTGCCGAGTGGAAGGTGCGACGTGCTCCTCGTGTGCGTGCTCCGGATGGCAGTCGTGAGTCAGTCAAGTGTCAAGTCGGGCAAGAAGCGTGTGTTCCTAGTTGGAACAATCAACTTCATAACTATTACCGCCGAAGTCGCAACTTCTAAGTTCGTAATGTTGTCCCTCACGCGGACGTGCGACTAGTTGTTTGGGAAAGCCTAATTGGTGAGCAGTAGCCATTTCCCAAATCGGCCCGATTTTTCGGCTAAGAGAATGTCCAAATTCGGCCATATTATGAGCCCCAAAGTCGGCTCAAAGCAGTTCTTGAAGTCACCGCTCGCAGTAGGCATGGGCGGGTAATGCTAGTTATTTGCTGCGATAATGCTAAAGGCAATGCTCATAATATGAAAATAATTATAATGCCACTTACCGGTATAATGCTCACACTACTCCATAATGCCAGTTTGAAAGTTGGAAAAGTCGATTTAAGAAGGCCGTCTTGGATCAAGGCCAAAGCGTAGAAGGAAAAACCTTAGACAGCAGTGAGCATGTTGTCTGAAACAATCCACTGAGAAGGTTGATTGGCAACGTCAAGTCTCCCGACGAAGCCGGACGGGTTCAGATGCACGATTTTCGGAACTGGACCTAGCCAGCTTAATTAATGCATGACACCATTGTCGACCGGCAATTATGCTTGTAATGCCAATTTTGCATGCGAAATGGTGTTATAATGCCAGCATTAATGCATTATGCCACCTGGAAAAAAGGGACTATAATGCCAGCCATAATGCATTACCCGCCCATGCCTAGCTCGCAGTTAGGACTCAACAAAATGACACTTGACAGTCATAGTTTCCTTTTGGGCCCCAGGCAAAAACAATGCTCGCTGCTGCATCTTGGAGCCAGGCAAAAACAATGCTCGCTGCATCTTGGAGCCAGTATCAATGCACGTAGCACATGCTTGACACACATAATTAGGCAAGGAAGTTAGCTTGGGGTATTTCCATTGAAGATATGCTCGAACGATTTCTTCTCAGCCCGTTTCGGTCCTGACTGTCATTTTGTTGACGCGCTCTTTTAATCACACACTCTACACTAGGAATACAAGGATGCGTCGGACTGAACACCCGGTGATACTGATAGTAATTAGTATAGCGATCGCTCATTTATACCGGTACGCGGTCACGGAATGCATTACATTGTAGCTGCATCATTAATCATTATCAAGCAGTGACGATCGATGGAAGGTTGCGACTATGCATCTGGCTCCAGCTTGGATCAGCTACTGCCTAGTAAATCAGTTATTGGTATTCTGTGTTTCCGACCGCCATCATCGATGGGGAACAGAGAAAACTGGCAGACCTGCACCAGAAAATACCATAAGCTTGCGTGGCAGTGTAAAAGAGACTTGGACAACGACGTTCTTCAATGTTTCAGTCCTCGTTATTATTATGACAGTCATAGCGTGCCAAATCGGATGCTGACAAAAGGAGACCAGCCCTAGCCGCTGCGGGGTGAGCACCAAATCATCAGCATTGAGAATACAACTACATTGTATTACTTGTAGTTGGAGATTGGAGATTATAACTATCATGAAAATTACGGGCTTTGCAAACATTTGGATACCGAGATTGGTCAAATGATTTACAAATCGAGCCACTTGTGACTTGGCCATAAAAATATTAATAAAAGTGAACCGGGCTTGCGAACTACGCAGTCGGACCATGTCGGCGCTCATTACAGCTTTCGTGCTCGTCCATTTCGTAGGAAGCTTTCTGGGGCTGCCGGCCAACGTGGTTTCGCGAGAGGAGGCGGAATACACCAATGAGCACTCAACAATGTCAATGAGGCAGGCATTGGCCGGCGGCGTGACCATGCGGTCATTTGCAACCAAGGCGCGTAGTGCTGCATTGAGCGCTGGAGGGAGCCAGTCTCCGTTCCAGGTCCTTGACCGGATTGTGGCAATGACCTCACATACATCGCTCAGCATGACCAGAACTGATCATGGTGATAGCAATGCCCACAGACTCGGTCGAACCTCAGCCAAGGATAATAAAAGATCCGCTAGATCTCCTCGGGCTGAAGGGAATACTCGGGCTCACGGGATCGGAGCAGGCGATAGAGGCCGCGCCAGACCTACCAACTACGCTGAAGTGCAAGAAAATGGTGAGGATGCTGAGGAAACAGCCAGTGGTGAGAACAGGTTGAGCAAGTTGCCTTCACTCCTGGTGCCATTTACTTCCGAGCAAGCGGCTCAACAAGGAGAATTTGATCTATTGAGGCCAGATTCGGCGTTATTCCGACCACTCATGCTCCCCAGCGCCGTGAAGCGTAAAGACAACGAGTTCACTTTGACATACCCTGCTTTGGAACTCCTCGCACTCGACAATGACGATCCACATCGTATCTTTCACTACTCCTATGATGTATCGCAAAACGATGGGCAAACTTGGTGGCTGCATCCAGCACTGCGTCTGCGGGAATTACCGGCTGTATGCCTGGACATCAGCAGCATCCGACCTGCTCTGGCCTTCAGCCACGCACGCCAACAAGTCTACCTGTTCGGTTTTGGCAGCCATCCCAACTGCTCTTTGGTGCAAAGCTGGAAAATTGTGGAAGAAAACTTCGAGTTGCTGAACGCTGTAGGGGGTGAGAAAGTGCCACGTCGATTTCACACTCTAGTGGCAGTAGATCAGGACTCGACGAAGCGCACGGATCTACTGGTGTTTGGTGGTAGAACTAGATGTGCTAATCGCACAAAGTATGCACCACCGTGTCGCTATGGTTGGGTATATTCTGACCAAGTATGGAGACTGCGTATAGTGAACGCTGCTGCTGGAGAACAGGAGGAGCAACCAGAGTGGGAACTGCTACATCCACCAGGACACACACAGGTCGTGATGACAAATGGGTCTGATCAGGAAGCAGTGCGGCCACAAGGTAGAGTGTCACCGTTGGTTGTGTCGGTGAATGAAACAACACTGTTGATGTACAGCGGAACTACTCGAGTCCAAGATGGATACACAGCACTCTGTGATTTGTGGATGTTTGAAGTAGCTACACGGAAGTGGACAGAACTGCCCGCTCCGCCACAGCGCTGTCTGGAACGTGCCTGCCACTCTTGTCTTCCACAGCGACCTTTGGGCAGCTATGACATGGAGAATCAACAGCTAATCGTTGTCCAAGAACGTATCGTTGTGGTGGCTGCCATCTTTACTATATTGGAAGGACTTGATGTGTGGGTATTTGACATGTCAAGCTTATGCTGGTCTTTTCATGGATCCACACTGCGCAGTAAGCAGTCCTTAAAGAGGCAACGCTATGCGAATGGCATTGAAAAGTACACACGGATGGAGGTGACTGTGCATGATCACCGTGTGATTGTCACGGACGCATACCGCATTCAAAGTGAAGAGCTTGTGTTCACGATCACGTCCAAGATGAATCAGACTTGTGTACATGGTAACACTAGTGCTGTTACGACGTCTCCGGACGCTGCTGTTGATATCAATCCGCTTACAGCCTATGAGGATCAAGCCTTCCAGTTTGGCGGGAATTTCAGATGTTGGTCACCTACACCTGTGGAAGCCATATTGCACACAGAAAGCCCTAGGTCAAATGAGACTAGAGCACTGGTGTTGCTCGGTAGCCTATGCTCGGGTAAGAATGATGATAGTCGGGATATACGGTTGCCAAGGTACAGTGCCCTACCAGTATGGTTCTACCTTCCCCATATGGGTGGCTACCTGAAGAAAAGCATCCAGCAACATGGCGCCGCACCACCGCCTCTTGTCCTGCACTCCGTGGTAAAACTGCACTCAGAAAGTGTCAGTAAAGCTGTTATGATCGGAGGCGCCCAAATGTTGCAGGAGAACGTCTCATATGACGCATGGTGCTTTGACCTGCACAAGCACTACTGGCAAAAAGCCAGCATTGGAGATAGGCACCTGGCGCCTCTACCTAGAGCAAGTACTGTCCTGGGACAAGCAGTATTTACAGTGACTGAAGACAGTGATATGCCAGCTCTAATAGCGTATGGTGGTGCGCCTTTGGATGATACGCTGTCTACTATGGAACATCTGGCCACTGGAAATATTAGTGCTTTAGTCTTCACCAATTTATCTACATGCCATGGTCAATGGCGGTCCCTGAACACAGGCAAACTAGGTCTGCCCACACTTGCTGGGCATTCCGTAACAGTCACCGGAAGCAATGATATTTATGTCTATGGCGATGTCAGTGGACAATTTGACATGCAGAAAAAGCACGAATGTGGCGACTTCTTCCGGCTGCACCTCCACGACCTTGGCACAGAACGCGGAACGGCATCGTGCAGCGCCATACAACACAGCGCACTGGCGTCATTCCCACAAAACAGGTACGGACACACTTTGAGTGTTCTTTCAGAGCATGCGTTTCTGCTGCTTGGTGGCCGTCAACTGGATGCTGACTACCCTTGCTACAATGCCTGCACTGCTCACTTCCTACAGTTCAACGACAGCAACCAAAGTGCCGTGGATGTCCTGCCGTACTTCAGACACGTGCCTGTTTATTTCCACCAAGTCTACGAGAACTATATGTTTGGTGGCCTTTCTACAAGAAACACCAATCTACTAAGGACGAAAAAATATACTCCACTGTCATACATGTCAGCTTCAACAACCTGCACTGGACGATTACTCGTTCAACATACTTGTCCAATTGGCTGGGGCAATGGCGGTGACTTGACCAAGAAGTGTAGGCCATGTCAGAACGGGTTCTACTCCGACACGCTCTCAGACGTTTGTCGCCGCTGTCCTGGGTTCCAATTGACAAACTTCACAGACAACCAGGAGTCATGCTTTGCGCAGAATCCATGTGCAAACGATCATTGTCATCGAGGCAAATGCCTCGTGGTGAACGGATCCGCTGTTTGTTCATGCCCTGTGGGCTATGTGCAGTATGATAACTGCCAGTTACCACTCATCTTCATTGCCGCTGCTGTTGGATCTGCAGTTGTGTTTGCTGCAGCCTTGCTCACTACTATCCGTGCATGCATCAAGACAAAGAAAGAATCCCAGAAGAAGGATAAGGAGTTGCAGTCCATGGAGCAGCGTCTCAGTGACATTGAGAAACTCCTGCGCGAACTAGCTCGCAGTCGTATCATTGAACGCCATGAGATCAACTTGCTTCACCGCATAGCCAAGACGGGAGCTTGCTTTATCTGGCTGGCCAAGGTCTTCGACACCAGAGTAGTTGTCAAACTGCTACGAAACATCAAGATGGCAGAGACGAGAAAGGAGCAGTTCTATCTGGAGGCAGAGGAGCTCCGACGTGTTCGACACCAAAATGTGATAATGTTCCTGGGTGCCGGCACGGATCCCAAAACGAATCAGCCGTTCATTGTGCTGGAGCATGCTAGGAGAGGTTCACTGCATGCAATCCTCCACGATCATAGCATCAGTGTTACGCCAGATGACTCACTGCGCTTTGCCTTGCAGGCAGCACGGGGCTTGAAGTTTCTGCATGGACTGGACCCTGCCCGCATCCACTGTAATCTGAAAACACCAAACCTGCTAGTGACGGAGAAATGGGTGGTGAAAGTGGCTGATTTTGGCATGATGGGTCTACTGTCCAGAGCAGATGAGCAAGGTGGAACATGTCAAGATCGCAATGAACTGGTTTCAGGAACTCAGGGAGCACTCTTCCCGAATCCCGAGGAAGAGAGTGAGACTGACGAGAGTCAAGCACTCCTGCTGATATCACCAGTAAAACGTCAGCAGCTTAACGGCAGCGGTGTGTTGGGACGCTACGTGGAAAGTGCATGGAGCGCTCCGGAAACACTGACTGACATGAAGTTCAACTGTGCTACAGATGTTTACAGGTAAGAGCGTATAAATGAATGTCCATCACATCACGAATACAAATAATTATAAATTAGCACATGTTAGTATAAGGATGTTTTGACCTCAGTTGTTTTAAAAGCCTGAACTGTCTATGTAAATAATGAGATTTGCTCTTTAGCCATGGTTCTAACCTGGTGACTGGTGTATTTGTTCTGCATCTGTTGAAAGTTTCCTTTTGTACACTACTTCCTTCTGCAGCTATGGCATCGTCCTGTGGGAAATATTCAGTCGTCAGACACCATACCCTGGCACTTCTGATTTTGCAGAAATCTGCAGCCAAGTGATTGCCGGCCGTCGACCTGACCTGCCAGCACGCATGCCGTACGACTATCGAACTCTGGTGGAGAAATGCTGGCATAAAGACGTACAGGAGAGACCATCGTTCCAGGCCATCGTGAAAAGGCTGGAGGATATGGTCCAGCAGAAGTCCCTCATGGAGTACTAGCACTGAAGCCGAGTGCAGTGCAGTGCAGTTCAATACTGTCTGGTTAGATTGCCGTGTGCAGTGAGGTACAGTGAGGTGCAGTGAGGTGCAGTGAGGTGCAGTGAGGTGCAGTGCTGGCTGGCTCAGTAGTAGATTCACCCGTCATAGGTAGGCCAGTGTATTGGCGGTATATGTCCAGTGTGCCTAAGGCCCAAGGGAGCAGCAACATTGCCACCAGCACTACCCACTATCATGTTGCTAGTACGATGCTACTCCCTAGCTCTATGGCCATGCCTGTGCTATCCTGACTGCATCCTGACTGCATCCTGACTGCATCCTGACTGCATCCTGACTGCATCCTGACCTGCGTGACTACCTAAACTGTACAGTTCTGATACAAGTCTATGCCACTCAGAGTCTCTTTCTTGCTTTTTCCTCTATTCACCACATTTTGTGAAGTCCACTGGACTGATTTTTTTTTTAAATCCATTTTCATACTAATTTTTCATTCGCTTGCCGGCTGCTTGTCCTCTTGCAACTACCTACATGGGTTTCCTGTTGATGCATCAGTTTATCAGTTTTTGACAGCCAATTATTGTATCATGCATACGAGTTTTCTCATTCCCAACTTCAGATCCTACTTCTCTCTCTCTCTCGCACACACATCAATCCACACTTTGTCAACACCTGGCCATAGTCTTGGAAAGCTTGCTTCCCACCAATTTGCAATATGCATTACAGCAGGCATGGATTTTGTCAGCCCAAAACCTGAATCATGCTTTTCCTTTTAAAATAGTTCATTCACCATTACATTTTTATCCTGATTATCCACTGTGTGACTCACGGTCAGCATTTTTACAAACGGTTGCCTTGTTTTAATACTCATAAAAAGGACACACTTCAGGCTCTTTGCGAACATCTTGAAAGTTGTTGGTTTCACAAGTATACTTTCAAGCCTTCTCATCAGGTGAAATACAGGCAAAGGAAAAGGAACAGGAACAGTGGATTAAGTACAGTAAGGAGGTGGTAAAACAGCGCAAAGAAGAAGATGGCTAGAGTAAACAGCGAAAAATGCGTGACCTATACACATAGGAATAATGACACAAAGGTGCAAGTGCGAGAAAACTCAATAAGCGTGACATGTAGTGCGACAACAAGAGACAACCACTGGACATAAGGCCATGTAAAATATTTTGATTTTTTATCGTCAGATTTTCCCGAGAAATCGGGGCGGACGGGAGGTTTTTAATTTTATTTTTTATTATGCATTTATGGCTGTAGGGCAGGTGTTCGCAACCCCAGAGGATAATGGAAAGTGGAACAACCAACGTTACGTAGAAAAAGGAAGAAAATCAGGCAGCTTATGATCAGTTTCACTTTTCAACCCCATAGCAACTAAGTTATGGTTCAGTCTGTGGACTTGACCTTCGAAAATCTACGGCCATGCTGATTAGAGGCTGTAGACCGCAGTACATGCTTCCCCCAGCTGCATCTCATGTTTGGCATTTAAGTGGTCTTTGTAAAAAAAAAACATACAGTACATTTACCAGTATTAAAAAATAAAATAATTCGGCGGGAGGGTGAAAATTTGGGGCGGGCGCGGACGATAAACAATCAATTTTTTTACTTGGCCTAACTAACGAGGTTTTGACGACCTACCTATTACAGTCTAGTGTGAATAATAATTTGCTTCTGCTTGCAAAGGTTGGGTTTCTTTGTGTGGATGTATACGGCTTCCAAAACATTCAGCAATCTAGCACTGCGTACACGTGACACAATCGAAAAACAATCATCTGAATACACAGCACGACAATCAGGATGCTCAAACAAATGACTAGCAATGGACGTTAAACATCAGAACAATCAGCATGTGCGGTGGACACATCCGATAATTATCAAAAATAATGGCTAGTCGAGTGGACCCTAGCCGTTGTCTCTGTCAGTGCTTTAGACGCTGCCATCGCCGTCGTTGCCGATATTGTCATTCTTCTAGTTGATGCGGTTCCTGTCACTGCCACGCCAGTAGGTGTCTTGTCCGGTTGTTTTTCCGGTGGTCTTTAATTGTGAGGTGACGTTGCTTGGTGTTGATGCCGCTGCGTTAGACCATCTTGTACCAGGATGATTCTTTGCTGGACGTCCCCTCCGTGGTCGAGTGGATCGTGCGTGTTGTGGAATAAGGTGTAGCGGTGTGTGTTGTCAGATGCGTGCGTCCAGATGTTGAAGACTCATGAAGAGTCCTACCTACATATCGCCTCTCACATTGCCGACACTCGAAGTGATAAATCAATTTGGATACTAGTAGTTGGCCTGTAGGTAGGACGTCCTTCCTCACCATGAACGCACGCACCGTGGAGTGTATACATGTATTGTAGGTCACGCATTTTCGCTGTTTACTCTAGCTACAGTCTTCTTCTTTGCGCTGTTTTACCACCTCCTTACTGTACTTAATCCACTGTTCCTGTTCCTTTTCCTTTGCCTGTATTTCACCTGATGAGAAGGCTTGAAAGTATACTTGTGAAACCAAAAACTTTCAAGATGTTCGTAAAGAGCCTGAAGTGTGTCCTTTTTATGAGTATTATCGCATTTTTGTCTCAGAGGAAACCGTTGCCTTGTTTAGTAGCGTTTCAAATCCCCCAGATTTTTGAATGCTCTCCTGTACTTGTAGCAAGGTCCAAACGGGCAGCTGTCCGCGGATTGAGTAATCTTTCGTAGCATTAATTTTAGTATTTCACTGGGGCAAGTTACATGTACATGACTCATGACCCATGAGAGTACGGGTACCGGTACATGTACATGTAAGTTGTGGTTGTTGTTGTCGTCGTCGTCGTCATTGTCGTTGTCGTTGTTGTTGTTGTTGTTGTTGCTGTTGTTGTTGTTGTTGTTGTTGTTGTTGTTGTTGTTGTTGTTGTTGTTGTTGTTGTTGTTGTTGTTGTTGTTGTTGTTGTTGTTGTTGTTGTTGTTGTTGTTGTTGTTGTTGTTGTTGCTGTTGTTGTTGTTGTTGTTGTTGTTGTTGTTGTTGTCGCCGTCGTTGTTGTCGTCTTCGTCGTTTTGTTGTTGTTGTTGTTGTCGTCCTCCTCGTCGTCATAGTCGTTTTGTTATGTTGTTGTTGTCGTCGTCGTCGTCGTCGTCGTCGTTGTTGTTGTTGTTGTTGTTGTTGTTGTTGTTGTTGTTGTTGTTGTTGTTGTTGTTGTTGTTGTTGTTGTTGTTGTTGTTGTTGTTGTTGTTGTTGTTGTTGTTGTTGTTGTTGTTGTTGTTGTTGTTGTTGTTGTCATCATCGTCGTCATCGTTGTTGTTGTTGTCGCCGTTTGTTGTTGGTGTTGCAAAAACAAACGGGCAGGCTTGTCCAATATTATGATGGCGATGGCGATAGAACAAAGTGGAAAATAGCAGCCGCAAATACTGCTATGCAGATCTATGACGCCAAGCACAACAGCGCGAAGATGCGAGTATAACTGAATTGGGAGAAAGATAACGTAACCCAGTTGTGCTGCGGAAGCGTGATTCGACGGCATGACAACTTCTTGTTTTTCATTAGCTTCAGCACGTTCATTCACATTCTTGATCATTTGTGAGAACTAGACCTGGTCTAGTGAGAAGGCATTCCACTGCCTGTAATTCTGGTGAAGTAAAATAAAGTAACAACAACAACAACAACAACAACAACAACAACAACAACAACAACAACAACAACAACAACAACAACAACAACAACAACAACAACAACAACAACAACAACAACAACAACAACAACAAGCTACCCCAGATCACACTCAGGAATAGTCCGCTTACCGTAGCACAAAAACACAAACACCTCGGAATAATCTTTCAGCATGACCTCCGTTGGACGGAGCATGTTGAATACATAGTCAAAAAATCACTCAAGTCTTTCAATATTCTTTTTAGACTAAGGTCTACACTCACCAGTGATTCTTTATCTCACATCTATCAGACATACATACTACCTATATTCTCATATGCGAGCAATGCTCTCACACCGTTGTCACACACTTCCCTTGACAGGCTAGAACGATTCCAGCGGAAAGCGGCGGGGTTAGCCGCCAGAATATGTCTCCACCTTCCCCTTTACACACACTTAGAACACTCCCACCTTTTGCATCGCATCAAATGGCCAACATTATTTTCACGCTTTAAAGTTAAACATATACTCTTCGCGCATTCTCTGCGCCACAATTATGCCCCACCACATAATTATACTCTCGCTGCATACTGCTAGCAACGTGCAACCTTCGTATAATTTACGTCGCTCTCGTACTTGGCACTTGCCAACTCCGAGGACTGATCGCTGTCTCCATTCTCCCCTGTACAAGGCCTTCATTACTTTAATTGCTTGCCCACCCAGATTCGCGAAATCCCTTCTCGTACTCTCTTCAAATCCCAGATATCCCTGCTGTTGCACAACTCTGTATGCTCGTGTAGCGACCACCCCTGCCCGTACACGTAAGTAGTCATTAAAGGGGAAGTGCATCGAATTTTCGAGGAGGGTCCAGAAGAAAGACAATTTGATATCGGTTCGAATGGCATATCTCTCGCTTCCATACGATAAGCCAAACTTGCCCAATCGCCAATTGTATCCTCACGTTGCCATAGCGACCAGCGCAGTGATGACGTATGAAAGGCTTAGCTCCTCCACAGAGAAGGTCGATCACTGCAGAAATTGGTCATTTTCAATTGTCTTATTGTATTCACGATGTGAAAGAAGTGCTGTGTTCGATGCTGTTAGTGCCGTGAACTATTTATCGCCCTTCTCATGCATTTCCCTAGGCTGACTGTGCCTAGGAAATGGTTTCCTATAGGACAAAATGCTTGGAATTCGCCATCTCTCATGAGACATTTTCAGCAAACTTTCAAACCTACGACATTATTTCATTCGTCAATCTCCACCACCCGTCGTCTCACCTGGCTTCAGAAGATGTTACGAGAGATAGGAGAGTCGCCAGGAAGCATCACATTCATCTTCAGGAAGTGGAAAGAGCAAACGGCAGGGTCATTGGTTGGGGGAAATGCTGAACGTCTGATTCGTCCCAACCAAGATTTCAGCATTTCGTTCGTCACTATTTTCGCTTGTCTGCTGGTGTCTCCGCACTCCAGCTTTCTCCTGTCGGTGTCACGTCCCAGTACACAACCGAGAGGACTACTAACAAACAGTTCACTGCACTAACAGCATTGAACACAGCCCTTCTTTCACTTCGTGAATACAATAAACCAATTGAAAATGACCAAATTCTGCAGTGATCGACCTTCTCTGTGGTGGAGCTAAGCATTTCGTACGTCATCACTGCGCTGGTCGCTATGGCAACGTGAGTATACAATCGGCGATTTGGCAAGTTTGGCTTATCGTATGGAAGCGAGAGATATGCCATTCGAACCGATATCATCTTCTCTCTGTCTTTCTTCTGGACCATACTCGAAAAATCGATGCACTTCCCCTTTAACGCCTAGGCTCTGCCCACCCAATTCTTCCTCACTCTTTCTCCTTTCTTTCACTATTATCTCTTATTAATATTGGCCACTGGCTATCGTGAGAATAAAGATTTGAAACAAAAACAACAACAACAACAACAACAACAACAACACCTGGACCATGACTTTCTCCTTGCAACAGTTTAAAAATATTGTTGGCCTTGCAACACCAGAAACGTAGTAATGTAGCATGGTATGATGACACTTCCATTGTCCAGCTCACAAAGTAGGGAATCGTGGTGAATATGTACATGTACAATCATGTACTTGGGTGTTGTGCGGGGGCCCCAGTTCCTTTTATTGGAGCTCCACGAGTGCACGGTACACAAATCAACAC